ATGGTTTGGTAATTTTGGGTAGTTTTTCTTAAATCCACCATTTATTCTCTTTAATTTATCATTTATTATTGTACTTTTTTTTTTTTTTGTTAGTAAATGTTAGAATTGGTTAACGAATAATTAAAAATATGAAAAAATAATGGATAAAGTCGAAAAATATTAAAATATACCGAACTAAATTAAAAATTTTAACATAAAGTTAAAAAATTCCATTTTTGTCCTTGTACGTTGGGTTCGATTCCATCGGGTTTTTATACAAAATTTAAAAATTATTTTAAAGATTTATTAAAAATATTAAGACCAAATTTAAATGATTGGAAAATACCAAAATATTATGTAATATTGAATTAGATATTAATTATTATATAAAAGATCGAGTCCGTAATTGTTTTATTAAAAAAATTAAAAACATTTTGAAAATAAAATTGAGATGTAAAATGTTATGCAATCATTAACATATTTTATTAATGAAAAATAAAGGGCAAAGGAGGAATTATAGAAACAAATGGAGGGCAAAATGGGAACAAAAGTTTTTTTAAAAAATTAATATATATATGGTAAAGATGGGTATATAATGTATTAAATTGTGCATTATTAACGTTAATTTTCAAGCATAATTAATTAAAATAATTAGCTTAATCACATAATTAAGAGTGAAGAAAGGAATATTCGGCGAAGGCCACGGTCACGGGCCATGGGGTCCCTTTCAGTTTCCTTTTTAACTCGCTCATGATTTCCACTTTCTTCCTCTCCCACTGTTCTTTCAATTCTCTTTATAATCGTGTTTTTGATTTGGCGCTCTATCTTCCACTCACTTTAATCCAAATGCCACTTCCATTTGCTCCGTTGGAAAAATCGACGGCAAATTCGTAGCCAAGTTTGTTGTTCTTCCTCCAATTTTCCGCCCTTTCATCGATATCTAAAACCCTCTCATAATCTCTAAATCTCGATTCGATCGCTACGTATTGATTTTCTCGAGTTTTTTGGGATTTTCGGTCAATACTTTGCCGGTAAGTTGTATTTTCTTCTGGGTTGTTCTTGTTTTGTGGGTTTTTCTACGTGGATTGGTGTGTTTTTGATGGGAGAGATATAAAATTTGATGGAATTTTTGGTTTTTTGATGATTCGATTTGGTTTCTTTATCGGGTTTGACATGATTTTCTGATTTTCATGGAATGGAATGCATGTAGCGTACTATGGATCTCTTACTGGTTTTGATTATCTTTCATGCACATCCTATTGGTTATTGAGATTTGGATAGCTTTTGGTGGAATTATTCATAGAACCTTTAGTTTAAACTCTGTTTTTGTTAAGAAATCAAGTCATTTCCTAGCTCTGAGAATTGAAATCAAACAATTTGCTATTGCTGTTCATTATGTTGTTCTTTTTGACTTTCTTTTATGCTGATTTGCTCATGGATTTGCGTGTTGTTCTTGTATCTGGGTCTGTATTTGTAGTGAAGGTTAAGATGGTTTTGATAAAATATTGTAGTGAAGCCAAGGAGCTGCTCTGCCATTGCTTTTGTGAATGGGTTGTATTCAGTCTAAAGGAAGCAAACAATTTCCTGGATATGAAGATCCTATATACCTTGCTTCACAAACTGCGTGTAAGTTGTGCTTTGTTTATGGTCTCTGAGTTTTGACTCTCATATATTATTCATAATGCTTCTTGATTCAACAGTTAGTGTTAGTGAAGTTGAAGCATTGTTTGAGCTGTATAAGAGCATTAGCAGTTCTGTCATAGATGATGGTTTGATAAACAAGGTATTTGTTTCTGTCACGACGAACCGAACGGGGTTATCCGTTACTTGGTGTGTGTTTTTCGTACATTTCAATCATGAAAGGTATTTGAATGCACATTGTTTGGGTAATTGTTATGCAGGAAGAATTTCAGTTGGCCATTTTCAAGAACAGAAAGAAGGAAAATCTGTTTGCGAATCGGGTAAAACTCTCGAAATCACCGTTCAAAAGTGTCAGCTAGTCATCTCCATTGGATTAAATTTGAACATTGCAATACGGTTTCTAGTAATATTTTTGTAACAGCCCAAACCTCCACTAGCGAATGTTGTCCTCTTTGAACTTTCCCTTCTAGGCTTCCCATCAAGGTTTTAAAACGTGTCTGCTAGGGAGAGGTTTCCACACCCTTATAACGAATGTTTCGTTCCCCACTCTAACCAATGTGGGATCTCACAATCCATCCCCTTGGGGGTCCATCGTCCTTGCTGGTACACCCCCCAGTGTCTGGCTTCGATACCATTTGTGACAGCCCACTCTGCTAGGGATGTTTCCACACCTTTATAAGAAATGTTTTGTTCCCTACTCTAATTGATGTGGGATCTCACAATCCACCCCCTTGGGGCCCAGCGTCCTCGCTGGCACACTGCCCGACGTCTGGTATCTAGCTCTGATACCATTTGTAACAGCCCAAGTTCACTGCTAGCAGATATTGTTTTCTTTGGACTTTCTCTTCCAGGCTTCCCCTTAAGGTTTTAAAACTCATTTGCTAGGGAGAAGTTTTCACACTCTTATAACGAATGTTTTGTTCCCCATTCTAACCGATGTGAGATCTCACAATTTTTGGTAGTGATGACTTATGGTTCCATGTTATTGATATACATTCCCATTTGTTTAAATCAACCTGTCTTATTAGCATATTTTAAGGTTGGATCCTTTTTGCTTGCAGCTCTTTGATCTATTTGATGTTCAGCAGAAAGGGTTCATTGATTTTGGTGACTTTGTAAGATCATTAAATGTCTTTCATCCTAATGCTCCTCAGGAAGTCAAGATTGAGTGTAAGTGTGCAGCATATGACATAATACATGATTTCTTTTATTGATTTACATGTGGCTGATGCTTGTTGTTTATTTAATTTACAGTTTCGTTTAAGCTTTACGATTTGGATAACACCGGATTCATCGAGCGACAAGAGGTATGTTTTCAATGGTTCAGCTCGAATCACATCAATATTGCAAGTAACACTAAAAACATAGACAAATTGTCCTCCATTTGAATTAGATCCGTTCAAGGATAGAAAACGTTTTCAATGTTTTAAAGTCACTTGAAAATAACTCAACTAGTTAAGATATATACCATTGACGGTCATAGGTTCGAATCATCCAAAAAATAAAGATATGTGTGTGGTGTCACGGTCATGCTCGTTCAGGGCGTGTTCCACTGTTCTTCCCATTCATTTAGTTTCATCTGTTGGCTGCTAAGAGCTTTCTGATTTATTGACTGTGGTAGGTGAAGCAAATGCTAATTGCTCTTCTCTGTGAATCTGAGATGAAGTTAGCTGATGAAACAATAGAGATAATACTTGATAAGGTGAGCTACCTTAAAACCTTTGGATTACTAGTTTTCAGGGACTTGAAACATATTATCAAACAATTGTGGGGTCAATCTGTGAAAGAAAAATAGAGTTAGGGAATGATCTGAAATAGTTTTGACTGGTTCTAATGCTCTTCACAACTTATCATTGTGAGGAATAATAATTGCAAACTACACCCCTACGATGTTTCTATTTTCAAATCACACCGCACCATGTTTTAGAATTGGTTTCAAGCCAGTAGAGTGACAATCAAGAACACGATACCGAGTATCGTGTCGCAGTCACCTTTAAATCTCATGGAATATCTTTTTGTTTTTGTTTTCGATATATGTGGATAGACTTTCTTGGAGGCTGATGTGAACCAAGATGGGAAGATAGACAAGATTGAATGGAAAAATTTTGTTTCTAAGAATCCATCATTGTTGAAAGTGATGACCCTTCCATACTTGAGGTAAGGAATAAGCATATGAACATGAATAAATAGATAGTAGCTTTCAAGTTCTTGACCACCGCGGCTTGTGTTTTGGCTTTGGTTTGGGCAGAGACATAACCACCACCTTCCCAAGTTTTGTGTTCAATTCTGAGGTGGATGAGATAGCCACATGAGAGAGAGATAGCCATATGAAGAAGCCATTGTGTTCTTGGGAAGAAATGGGCGTTTTGAAGGAAGGAAAAGAAGAGGAAAAGTAAAAAGGAAAAATGAGTTTTTGCTCTTCCCTTCCCGTTCACCACATAAGTGTAGTTTGACCAATATTGGTCTCTTTGCACTATTGAATTGTAAATCTTCATTGAGAATTTTTGTGGCTTTTCATTTGGCTATGAAGTTTGTACCCAAAAAAAAAAAAAAAAAAAAAAAATCTCATTTCGATCTCGCTACTTTGTATATATGTATTGAAAATATAATTTATATTAAGTGAAATGAGGACGGGGCAGCCTATTTCATTTATCTGATGGGGAAAATTGTTCTCCACTCTAACGGCGAATCCTCTCTCCGTTTGAAATGAGTAAAATGGATATCTCTATGTCTAGCACAAAAGAGCAATCTTAGTTGTAATATATATATTCAACACACGATTATGTTTTTTTTTTTTTTTTTTTGAAGATATATCTTTTAGTCCATCACTCATCACCTTGAGCCAACTATAGGAATAGTTCATATATTGTAAAATGGTTGGAAGTGTTAGACGAACACGACTCTCTACAATGGTATGATATTGTCCACTTTGAGCATAAGCTCTCATGACTTTGCTTTGAGCTTTTCAAAAGGCCTCACCCCAATGGAGTTAGTGGAGTTAGTATTCCTCTCATGACTTTGCTTTGGGTTTTCCAAAATGCCTCACTCCAATCACCCCAATGGAGTTAGTATTCCTCACTTATAAACACATGATCATTCTTTAATTAGCGATGTGGGACTTTTACTTTTATCATCCAACAGGAAGCTTTATATAATATATTATGTCTGTGGTTCGGCCATTATTTCTAACCATTTTATTAAATTAGTTAACTTTGTTAGTTTATTAAATTATTAAAATAATTTTAACCAATTAAATTTTATTTAATTTTTTGCTTTAAATTTTAGCAACAATAAATTATTTAATAAAATTGTACAAGCGAGAATAATTTAATAATAATAATAATAATAATTTCACCGCTCAAAAGAGTAACAATAATCGGAGCATTGAATGTGCTCTACATTTTCACGGCGGCGAGGAAAGAGGATGGAAACGGCAACGATGGAGACGACGGAGAAAGCGGCTGAGGGATTGAATTGCGAAGCCATGGATTGCTTGTCGGAAAGGCTTTCGTTGCCAGGTAGAATCTTTACTGCCACGAATCCGTCTCAACGCAAGGCCATTCTGCTTGACCTTCTTTCTCGCGATGTCGCCGTGTTTCTTGGCCTCTCTATAACTCTGGATTTTTGCAACTTCTGGTATGGATTTCCCCCAAAGGTAAAAGCGCCCTTAGCTTGATTGATCGAATTTGAAGGATAAATTTTGAGAGATTTGAATGAGTGGTTTTAATATGGTGAGGAGATTTAATGGAAATTATCTGAATGCTGTGCCCTATTGTTCTGTTTCATAATCATTTAGCTTTTGGAAATTAAGTTTATAAACGCTACTTCCATACATTCCATGAGTTTTTTTTTTTTTGGTAATTATTTTGATTTTTATCCTTGGATGCTGCCTTGTTCTGTTCATTTAAATATTTTTATGTTTGTTGCTCTTCCAACTTTGATTGATGTAGAGCGTTATGGATCACAGTTGATATCCATTGAGCTCCATGAGTTTGGTGCTCTGAAGGATGATTATGAGATGAATTGGGCACATTAGATGAACTACACTTTAGGTCAGTTATTGTGAAGAATAGGATATTTGCATATCTGAATAAACTGATATGTGATGGCATGTACTTCTCGGATATGCAATGAGGGGGAGAGAGCCATTTTTCATCATGAATACTTGGGGAAGTTTCAGGATCCAAGTGGGAGAGGAATGGCAGGACCACGGGGAGCGATGGTCTGAGGCTCTGATGAGGAGATCAGAGGAAGCAATGTTGGTTGCTAAGATCAGAGTAGAGCAACGTAGGTGTGAGATCCCGCATCGGTTGGAGAGAAGAACGATGAATTCCTTATAAGGGTGTGGAAACCTCTCCCTAGTAGAGACGTTTTAAAAACAGTGAAGCTGACGACGATACGTAACAAGCCGAGATAAATAAGCTAGCTAATGGAGCTCATACCATTGATAGGTAATGATATTTGACTCTTTCATTTGTTGGTAACCAGGGCCATGGATGAACAGACAATAAAATAGTCAAGCTGTCTAGGGTGGGTCTGCTAGGGAGAGGTTTTTACACCCTTACAAAGACCTTTGTCCTCCTCTTCCACTGATGTGAGATCTCACAATCCACCCCTCTTCGAGGTCTAGTGTCCTCGCTAGCGCTCGTTCTTCTCTCCAATTGATGTGTGATCTCACAATCTACCTCCCTTCGGCGCCCAACGTCCTTGCTGGCACATCGTCCGGTGTTCACCCTCTTCAGGGCTCAACGTCTTCGCTGGCACGCTACCCTGCCAAGAAGGGTGGATTGTGAGATCCCATATCAGTTGGAGAGGGAAACAAAACATTCTTTATAAGGGTGTGTAAACCTCTCCCTAGCAGACACGTCTTAAAAACCTTGAGGGAAAACTTAAAGAAAACAATATTTTCTAGCAGTGGGGACAATTACAAAAATAGAATTTATAGGTCCGGCCTCACCCTCACGGGGAAGACAAAGACAAGCTGAGTAATACACTTTCTAGTTTCTATTAATGGTTCTCATCTATGATGCCAAATACTAAATATTGGGAAATTTTGTTAGCATAATAAGATGATTCTTTCAATTGCTTAATGTTTTTTCACCACATGCTACCTTTTGTTTTATTCTTATTTCAAACTCTCAGCTCTTATTCAGATCACGAAACTGGAAAGAAACGAGATGATGCAAGTGCGAACAAGCTGATGATGATCCATGATGAGATGATGAATGCAATTAAAAGACTCGGCTGAACGATGTCGTAATCCTGGTAAGATTAAAAAATGATCTCTGTGCTAACTTTTAATGGCAAGGGTAGATTCTTCGATGAGTATGGGGATATAATTGTGTGCCACACTCCATGAGTTTGGTATTAGCTTTTTGCAGTTCCTTAAGCTTTTGTTTCTCACAGAAGAAAAGAAGTTACTCAAATGGATAGGAAATTGGGTTCCTGGTATTGGCATCTGCCTCAACTGAAACCTTGTAAGTTCTACTCATGTTCTTTCTGTCTGATGAATATTTTTCCGTTTTTCAACTTAGTTTCTGAATGTGTGAATATTGAGCGGTAGAAGTATGGAGATTTGTACGTACATCTGATTTCGAAGTCGAAAAAAAATGTGCCTTAACTTGTTAAGCTATTAAGCTATTTTTACTAGAGATGTTCATTTTACTTGTGGGACTAGAAGGGGCAAGGGAATTTCCTGTTTAGACGAGAATGAGGAAGGGAATGAGAAACTTTTTTTTATGCATTAGATTTTTTTTTTTTTAATGGTTAAAGACTATTATGTAATATTAACATTTGAATTTTTAAAAATTACTTTTCGGGCCGTTTGAATATGAAATATATTGATTTATTTGAATTTTTTCAATAAAAATTATATTGAAAAAAATGAAAACTTTAAAATAACTATTTTTATAAAAGAATAATAAACAAAAAAAAAAAAAAATTATTTGCTGTGAGATTTGATTCTCGCAAATTAACGTGTATTCAATCTAAATTTTGCAGGGATAAAGATAGCGAAGGCTTCCTTATCTTTGTCTTCGTCCCGACTTGTAGACATCTCTAATTTTTTATTCCATTTGAAATCAGCTAAATAAATTTATTCTTCTTCTTCAAAAATCACATCAAAGTAGTGAGAAAAATTATCACGTGATTCTTTCTAAATATGCAGAAGACAAGCGGATGAAAAGTCACAAAGCTCTATGAAAGGTCTTGAAGTTAGATCCTCGGGACTGAATATTCGGGACTGAATATTACCCAAAGCTTCATGAAAGGTCTTTTGAAGTTAGATCCTCGGGACCGAATATTACTCAAAGCTCCATGAAAGGTCTTGAAGTTAGATCCTAGGGACCGAATATTACCCAAAGCTCCATGAAAGGTCTTGAACTTAGATCCTAGGGATCGAATATTACCCGTCTCCCATTTATAGATGACATACACTCCTTTTTTATCCTACAAAAGGGGAGAATGAATAAATTCTTTTTTTTGTAGTTCATTCTTTTGAGAGAGAGAGCATTGGGTCATAATACCAAGTTAGAAGATGACCCAACCCTTCTATCTAACAAACGGACCATATTTGTCGTTCAAGCCACACTTTCTGACCTCCCTAGATGCTAGAGTCCCTTTTTGACTTACTCACAAAGGTTAAGGTCTATCCTTTGGAAAGAGACCACTAGTGGCAACTATAAACATCTTGTTTTTCAACGCTCGTTATCCTATTATTAACCATGATTTGGTCTCCATTGTATTAAACAACAAAGTTGTTAGCTCTCTCGCATTTTATTATTGATACAAAAGTTGGTCACATATTACTTAATAATTGTGATGTTCGAGTAAAAGAAAAGTACAAAGAATGAACAAAAAAAAAAAAAAAAAATATATGCAAATGAAAGTAATATTGAGTAAGACTCAGAAGAATCGAAGTTACTACCTAATCCAACTCGGAGTACTTTTTTTTATTGCTCAATCATAAAAACTTCAAAATTAAGCACGCTTAGCTCATTGTGATCATATGTTCAGTGTCTTCCTATTTTTTTTTTTTTTTTTTTTTAAATATGCGAGTGAAAATAAAACATGCTAAAATGATCCATGTTGGTAATGCGATTATGTGGCACGAGAGGAAGAAGAATATCTAAGTGCTTAATAATATATATATATAAATATACATGAATCAAACCCAATTAATAAAGTTTTCATTTATTTGAATCCAACCAAATCCAACCCATTTCAAGTAAGCTCAAAACCCAACTCAAACGGTACGAATTGGATTGGGTCGATCGAGTTTTTTAGACCATCTAATTTTTTGAACACCTTAATCATTTCCACTTGAAACACGAAATTTCTAACCTATTTGACACGTGTTCCCGTAGGATAAACTTAGTTATCACTTGACTCTCTCACCAAACCCGCTCGATTTAGGGTGTTCAAATTTCCTTAATCTAGTTTTGTCCAAAAGAAAAATGATTTGAAATCATGTGCACTCTCAAAGAAATGACTCATAATCCGAAAGGCATAATAAAAGATATGCAAATATATGATAAAAGCTAAGTCGGCATACCAAGAAAAAAAGAAGTGTAAAATTGAAGCAATGTTGTACAACCATAAATTAATGAATTCTCACTATTTTTGATGTAAATGTAACAAAATCACTCCAAATTTGACTTTAGGGAGCTTTGGTTTTGTCGATAAGATTAAGATTTATTAGTGGATGCTCGAGGAATGAAGAAAGGCTCAAAAGAACGGGAAGATATTGTTTATACCAACAATATGCACGGTCTTTTTCAGTAGCTAAACATGTCTAGTTTGGAGCAATCCTACGAAACACGTAAGTAGAGACAAAACATGCTAAAAAGACTGTCGTTGGTTTTTTGGGAGACAAAGTTGTCATGTCTCGAGGAATGTCAAAGACTAGCAGATATTGTCCTCCTTGGGTTTTCCCTTTCGGGCGTCCCCTTAAGGCTTTAAACGTGTTAGCTAAGGGAATGTTTCCACTCTCTTATAAATGGTGTTTTATTCTCCTCCCCTACCAGTGTGAGACATCACAATCCACCCCCCTTCGGGGCCCAGCGTTCTTACTGGCACATTGCCTCGTGTCTACCCCCTTCGGGGAACAGCGAGAAGGCTGGCACATCGTCCGGTGTCTGGCTTTGATACCATTTGTAACGGCCCAGGTTCATCGCTAGCAGATATTGTCCTCTTTTGGCTTTCCCTTTCGTGCTTCCCCTCAAGACTTACGGGAAGGTTTCCACACCCTTATAAATGGTGTTTTGTTCTCCTCCCCAACCAATGTGAGACATCACATAAAACGTTTTAAAACGCGTCAGGTAGGGAAAGATTTCCACACCCTTACAAGGAATGTTTCGTTCCTCTTTCCAAGGGATATGAGATCTCTAAAATAATCACGTTACTTTTCGTTTCGTCTATTCTTCAAATGTAGTTTCCATTCATCCATGTACCCTTTTTGTAAAAGCCCAAGTCCACCACTGACAGATATTGTTCTCTTTGGGCTTTTCCTCTCACGCTTCTCCTCAAGGGTTTAAAACGCGTGTGCTGGGGAAAGGTTCCCAAATCCTCACAAAGGGTGTTTTGTTATCCTCCCAACCAATGCGGGATATGACACTTTCTTTTCTCGAGTATCAGAAAGTATTATAAACTCATTTATATATATATATATATATATATATATATATATAAAAGTCAATTCAATAATTGAATCCAATCAAAAAAATTAATGTTTAAGCAATTCATCAACATTAATTATTATTGATATTATAATGTAATGTGTCAAATCAAAATAATAATAAAAAAAAACAAATAAATTAGACTGATGAACTAGAATATTCTCAATAATAGAACTAGAAGAACTAAATAAAAAAAAAAATTAATTAATTTTAATAAAAATAATAAAATTAAATGATTGGATAATAAGATAAGGAGAAAGAAGTGGAGATGACAAGGACAATAGTATGGAACAAAATTGGATAAGAATTAGGCTTTCAATTTCTTTTTTTTATTTTATTTTTAAATATCTTTATAAGCCTTTTTATTAAAATATAAAAAAAGAAAAAGAAAAAGGAAAAAGAGAAAATAATAATAATAATAATAAAGTTATCTCAATCTTATTATAAAGCTAAATCAATCTTTTTCCATCTTTCCATATAAAGGGACGTATAAAACCTAACAAATTTAGTATTATTACCAATTTAATTAAAAGTATTTAAATATAGGTTTTGTTTTTTAAAATATAACATTTGGAAGATGAAACTATCACGTTCGGGATGATAATAGATGTCTTCTATACGCCAATGTGAGCACAACTCTACCAGTTAAACTATCGATGTTCGGGTTTAGGATTCAATTTCCTCACTTCATACTGAGTAGTGACATTCGTGAATTGGGCTGGATCGAGTTTGGACATTTTTTAAACCCAACAAAAGTTTCAACTCAAACAACTCTCGTTAAATAATGAACCCAACTGTTAAAGATATTTAGTAATAAATTATAGTTTACCATATATATTATATTTGATATTTTATTATAAGACAAATATCTAATATTTGCCTTATTATCATAGGTATCTTTCCATTTATTACTATTTCCATATCGTTGTAATTTATTTGATTATAAATAAGATAACTTTCACATCATTTAGGTGTGGTGGATTAATCAAACATTCACACCAACTATAATTTTTTTTATTAGATTGATTTGAGTTGTTCCAATTATTTATTATAAATGTAAAGTGTAAATTTGTAAAATATCTATTTATTTATTTTTAAACCTTATGTTTTTAAAAAAATATTATTTAAGAGGTGTTGGAAATAAATAATAAAAATAAAATAATTATATAGCTTAAATTTGGATTATGAAATTAAATAAAAATAAAAGAATGGTATATTTTTTAAATTCTCAATTTAGTTTCTTCCACGAGAAATTATTAAAATTAAAATATTTTTCGTCAATAATATTTATTATTATAAAAAATAAAATTAATTCCTCCTCCACCAAAATTCAAAATGTTTAATTAATAAACTTTATTTATTTCTAGTGGGATAATGTCTAGGTAGCATCATGCATGTATTAATATATTTATATTACTAAAATAATAATTTAATTATACAACAAATTTTAATGGTTAAATTTTCATTTCAGGTTTCCGACACGAGCTCATAGTCACGTGTTTCTAAAAGTTTTCGGTGGGCTTATTAATTCAAATAGAGTTTGCAACCTCGCACAATCCAATTCAATTTTTTTTAAAAAAATATTTTAAAAAATCATAATTATCACGTTTCATTAATAACTAAAATGTGATGAAATTCAAATATCAAACCTTCACGAGTCACAACATTAATATTGGTTCAAACGTAAAATATTCTTAATTTTTGTAGTAATTTTAAAAAGTAAGGTAGGGAAGACTGAATTGTAACTCTATTTTTAAGTTGGTTTAGTTGACTAACGGTTGCATGTTGTGTTCTTTGACAAAACTGCTAAATGTCAACTTACAAGGAATTTTTCAATTTTTAAAAAAATTCCATCCAAACACCAAAAAAAAAAAAAAAAAAAATCTGATTTTTTTTTAATGTAAATTAATTTTAAATGTATTAAATATCTATTCAATGCAAAATTAAAATTTGTATAAAATTTTGAAGTATAAGTTGTAATTTAATGAAAAAAGAAAAACCATAAAGGGAAATGGCATTTTCAGTAATTACAAAAAAGGTCACTGTTCTTGCATCATCTGGTTTCGTCTTCTAGTTCTTTTGCAGATACAAAACCAGCGATACCATTTCATACAAAATTTGCAGAAACTTTTGCAGTTATTTGGATCGATCTCATTCCCACAGAATCGATGGAGGTAAGAAGAAGCCGTAGCCAACAAAACCAGAGGCTTTGATTCCTGTAATATTATACCCTTCTTCAATCATTGAACCAAGCCGTATCCGTTTCTGAATTCTCGTTCATGAAGAATCCACTTCGGTTTGCCCGTCTATGGCGTTTTCAAAGCTTTTCCCTGAGTTCTACGAAGGATTTTCCATGACCCAAACCACTTCTCTGCTATTGCGATTTCCGTCTTTCCCTTTCGTTACGAAATCACTGGCTTCTCAAATCTTCCGCCATTTTCGTTGTCGCGAGTTGCTTCGAGTTCACTCGCGATTAATCCTCCTCCTCTCTTTGCCGTTCATTTACTTCTTTCTTTCGAATCCTCGCCGTTCTGTTGTTCTCAAGTTGTTTGTCGTACTTTTCTTCTCCATCGCGGCTTTGATTTTTCTCAATCTTGCAGTCCCTCGTTTCCCTTCTTTGATTCGTTTGTTTCTTGTTCGATCGTCTTCAATTAACGCGTTCTCATCTTCTGCTGCGACGAAGGCTGTTTCCAATGTTCGTTGGTCGATAGGGTCGAACCCCAAATCGGAGAAACGGTTGATGTCGGGTTCTTGGGTGAAAGTTTACAGTAATGGCGACGTTTACGAGGGGGAATTTCATCAAGGGAGGTGCTCGGGTAGTGGGGTTTATCACTACCATATGAGTGGAAGATATGAAGGCGATTGGATTGATGAGAAGTATGATGGGTATGGCGTAGAGACATGGGCGAAAGGGAGTAGGTACCGTGGTCAGTACAGACAAGGCTTGAGGAATGGAATTGGGATTTACAGATTCTACACAGGGGATGTCTATGCTGGGGAGTGGTCTAATGGCCAGTGCCATGGTTCTGGAGTTCATACTTGTCAAGATGGGAGCCGCTATGTTGGGGAGTTCAAGTGGGGTGTCAAACATGGATTGGGTCACTACCATTATAGGTAATTTCCTTGAAGTTTTGGATCTTGAGAATCATTCTGTGATTATTTTATATGTGTTCTTGTTGGATATCTGCATTTTGCTCATTTGGAGATGGTTATCTCTGTTTCTCCTATTTGATGATGGGGTGTGGGAGTGGCTAATGTTTGTTATCATTATCAAAGTGTTTCTAGCTTGTTGTTTATGAGTTTATGTCTTGGTTTTGTTTTGTTTTGTTTTCCTTTTTAGCTTAATTATTCAGATGCATTCAAAGCAGAACTTATTAGGAAACTGTGGTAGATCTTTTCCATCTAAGAAGTAAGAACTTCTCCTTTGATTGTCCAAATTCACTTGTCTAATTGTGAATTGTGATTTCATCTCTTGAAAAGGGAAGATCATGTTATATTATTATTTTCCTCATGAGTTATCTCTCTTCTCTAGCTTGAAAATAGTTTCTGGAATCATCAATCTAACAGCCCAAGCCCACTGCTAATAGATATTGTCCTCTTTGGACTTTTCCTTTCGGGCTTTCCCTCAAGGTTTTTAAAACGCGTCTCCTAGGGAGAGGTTTCCACACCCTTCTAAAGAATGTTTCGTTCTCCTCTCAAACCGATGTGGAATCTCACAATCACCCCCTTTGGGGCACAGTGTCCTCGTTAGTACTCGTTCCTCACCAATCGATGTGGGATCTCACAATTCACTCCCTTTCGGGGCCCAACGTCCTCGTTGACACACTGTCGAGTATCCACTTCCCTTTGGAGCTCAGCGTCCTCGTTGGCACACCACCCGGTGTCTGGCTATGATACCATTTGTAACAGCCCAAGCCCACCGCTAACAGATATTGTGAGACCTCATATCGATTGGAGAGGGGAACAAGTTCTAGCGTAGACGCTGGGCCCCGAAGAGGGGTGGATTGTGAGATCCCACATCAGTTGGGGAGGAGAATGAAACATTCTTTGTACGAGTGTGGAAACCTTTTCTTAGCCGACGCATTTTAAAAACCTTGAAAGAAAGCCCAAAGAGAACAATATTTACTAATAGTGGGCTTTGATTATTGCGAAAGTAGTTGGGTATTCATCTCTTGAGTTTTTACTCAAAGAAGAGTTCAATAATACTGTTCTTGTATGGATTGTGAATCTGTCTCTTGAATAGATGAACTTATACTTCTTTTTTCTTAAGGAGATTTATTATTTGGTGTTGTCTTGTACATTGTTTTCCAATGTCAATGTGAATCATTAGATTTATCCCAAAAGGAGGGAACAAACTGCTGCCTGTTTCTTACCAACTTCTCAGTTACTCTGTGCTATTTAAGTCAGATTTTAAAAAAACACCTATCAGGTTTAGTCGAAAAGTAATAACAGATTCTACTTGAGATGCCTCCAGTGGTTTATGATCCGATTTCCTAGAACTTTGAACTTACAAGGGGTTGATGACTGTTATAATATCTCACAATGCAGAAACGGAGATACGTACGCAGGAGAGTATTTTGCAGACAAGATGCACGGCTTTGGAGTTTATCGGTTTGGCAATGGACATCGTTACGAGGGAGCTTGGCACGAAGGAAATAGGCAAGGGCTTGGTATGTACACTTTTAGGAATGGAGAGAGACAGTCTGGTCATTGGCAAAATGGTGTTCTTGATGTGCCCAGTCTTGAAAGTAGCCATCCAGGGTCTTCTTATGCTGTCAGTCATGCTAAGGTTCTCGCTGCAGTTCAGGTAAAGTCTTTATTGTTTGTTTTAGTGAAGAATATTGGAACCTAAAGATTCTGATAGAACTCTTTAAGATACCCCTTTGTCTCTAATGTGCTCCCCTATATATATCACACTCAATATCTCAAAATAAGTCCACATAGTAACTAATATGGGGGGCATATATAAAATAGTAATTCACTCGTGTCTCTTGTTCTGTGAGATCCCACATTGGTTGGAGAAGGGAACGAAGCATTCCTTAAAAGGGTGTGGAAAGCTCTCCTTAGCAGACGTGTTTTAAAATTGTGAGGCTGACGACGATATATAACGGGTCAAAGCGGACAATATCTGTTAGTGGTGAGTTTGGACTATTACAAATGGTATTAGAGTTAGACACCGGGTGTGCCAACGAGGACGCTGGGCTCCCAAGGGGGGTGGATTGTGAGATCCCACATCGGTTGGAGAGGGAAACGAAACATTCCTTATAAGGGTGTGGAAACCTCTCCCTAGCAAATGCGTTTTAAAACTGTTTGTGATGGCGATACGTAACTGGCCAAATGGGACAATATTTGTTAGCGGTGGGCTTGGACGGTTACATATTCACTCTTCCTTGCGTGTAAGAGCCTGACCTAAGAGGCCTATCAAATTTATTCTTTCGTTCGGATTTTATAAGAGCCTGACCTATAAATCGACCTTTTTGTTAGTTGACTTTTGATTTTAGTTCATTTCTGATAGCTATGGAAACTAATCTGAAATCCAGTAGACTTAAGAAGTAGTAAGTCTCAAGTGTTGGCGTAGATTCAAAGTGTATGCTACTCTTTTAAACACACTCAAGCCACTACTAACATGATTCATCATTTTATATTCTGATGATACTTCATGATTAGATATAGCCTATGGGTCAAAGAGAAAGCACGATACTTTTCATTCGTTTCAAACTCGATAGTAACGAATGTATACTTAACAATTATGTTAACCGAGTGTCGTCACTGGAGCAGGAAGCAAGGAGAGCTGCAGAGAAAGCATTTGATGCAGGAAGGGTGGACGACAGAGTTAACAAAGCTGTAGCTGCTGCTAATAAAGCAGCAAACGCAGCAAGAGTTGCAGCTGTGAAGGCTGTCCAGAAACAAATGGATCAAGAAACCTACACCAACCCACCAATCTTACTGGTCTGATCTTAAACGTCCTGTATGTAGTGTACGACCTTTCCAGCACGATGCTTTTCCAAAAGGGTAGAAGCCACGGGAAAAGCTGGTAAATGGATGTTCATTTTTGTTCTAAATTCTTTACCCTCCTATTAGGCCCTTACAATTGAAAGGTACCTGCCTGGATCACTTGCACCGCCGTGCAGGACGAACGACCGAACGACCGATAGAGGAGCCAATAGGTTTATTTCCATCTCTCTCTCTCACTCTCTCTCTTATTGTACATAGAATGATTTTGAACCGAAAATGAGAAGACTGCTAGAGTTGAGCTTTTTGTAAGTAATTATATGTATAGCAGTAGAGATGAAGGATGGAACTATGCTTGACAATATTATGTTGTTGTATAGTGAAAATCTGCCTGAGCTCTGGGCTCTATGCCTTCTCCACCTTCTTATGTTTCTGTAGTGTGTTTTGTTTCGACTCCCATTCGAGATCATCTAAGCCATACCTCCCTCGGCCTCGACTTGAATATCCTACAAGTTTTCTTGACACTACCAAATATAATAGTCATCCAATTGTTTCATGAGAATAGTTGAAGTACGTGCAAGTAAATTCTTGATGCTCTTAGTTTAAATTATATACATATTTGTTTTCTAATTAGTTTAAATTAGAGCGTAAACTATAAATTATTACTTCCAACATATTTAAGGATTAAAAATTATTTTTAACCTATTATTTTAAAATTCTAATCCTTAGGATTGTTGCTTTAAATTTTACAAAAAAAAAAAAAAGAAAAAAATCTTGGAAATATAAATAAAATAAAACACTAATTACAGTGTAAAAAATTATTAATAAAAAAAAAAAAGAAGTCAAGCTCAGATGCGCCCTAAACTTCGTCAGAATGATCGGACGGTTGTGATCGACCCAGATCACTGTAGGCACTAATTCTTCATAGCAAGACAAAGGATGCACCAGCCGGGAATCGAACCCGGGTCTGTACCGTGGCAGGGTACTATTCTACCACTAGACCACTGGTGCTTTTTGATTTACTGATCATTGTTGTTTAAGTAAATAATTTTAATTATCTAAATACTTTTATTTCCTTATAAAATTCTTAATATTTTAACAATATATTTTCTAAATATTTTATATCTACTCTGAATAATTGTATGTCACAAATTGTTTATTTTGTTTTATTTTTATAGACGTAATTACAACTTCTTTAAAAATACAAATTTCAGCTTTTTTTTTTTTAATTTTTAAATTAGTCTTATTTTAATCTTTTTATAACTAATATTGAGATGCCATGTTTATACTTGCCCATTGCCTCTTTCCCTTTCTAATTATTTATTTCATTTTACTTTTTAATAATATAATTATTTTGAGGGTAAATTTTAATCTTTATTTTATTCTTTATTTTTATTCCTACACTTATCAACTTATATTAATTTTTACCCTAAAATCAAATTTGATCATTAGATCGGTATTATATTACTACCACCTTTCAACCATTTAATTAAAAAAAAAAAAAATAACAAAAACTTTCTTCACTTACGGGTCATTTCACTTATGGGATCCTCGTGTAAGAATGAAAGAATTTGACTAGATAAATTGTGAAGGATTATACTGGCTCGGGTCATAGCCTTCCTCACCTTCTTGCCAAATCTTAACCCTTCTTATAAAACTTCTTATTCCATCAGTATTCTCTCCATAAGGTCGATGAGGAGGCTCTCGAACTCGATATGGATGTGTATAGGGAAAGGTATCCAGCCTGCATTAGGGCAATTGTAGAGGCTCAACTGTAATAAAGGGTCGCTCAAAAAGCGCCAGGACGAGGTACCTAATCAAAAACCCTATCTTTTGACCTACTCAGTTATAAAACTTAAGTCAACATCGACTTTTCTAGAAAGGAAATGACAAAAAGGATTTTGATGCTTTTAAAATATCTTTTCTAACTTTTGTACAATTTGATTTGAGTATAGAAAATTGCATTTTCCAACTCCAGCAACTCCATTTCATTGCATCTTAGCCGAAAAAAAAATGGACGATAGGGATTAAAAACATCATCTTATCGGTATAACAATGTAGATCAAAATATGGATGGTAGGGATTAAAAATGATTTGTAACCTATTATTTTAAAATTCTAAACTTACCAGGATTAAATTTATTAAAAAACATCCAATTGTGCCAACAAAAATAGTGGTCTTGGAAATAAAAATGAAAATAAAAATAAAACACTAATAACAGTGCTGAGTTTGTAATTAAAATGCAAAATAAAAGAAGTCTAGCTCAGATGCGCTAATTTATAGCTTCGTCAGAATCATCAGACGGTTGTGATCGACCAAGATATCACAGTAAGCGCCAAATTCATCATCGCAGGACAGACGGATGCACCCGCCAAGAATCGAACCCGGGTCCATAGTATGACAGGATACTATTTCACCACTAGACCACTGATGCTTCTTGATTAATTTTATCATAATGATTTTAATAGTTTTGTAATTTTCAATTAATGCCCAATTTTAACGGTAAGTTCTCTAATATTTTATATATACTATGTTAATTGTATGTCACAAATTGTTTATTTTATTTTATTTTATAGACATAATTACAACTTCTTAATATTTTTCTATTTTTCTAAAGCAAATTGATTTAATCTTTTTATATACACAGTAAATAGCTAATATTGAGATGCCATTTCCCTTTCTAATTATTTATTTTTTACTTTTGAACAATACAATTGTTTTTAGGGTAAATTTTAATCTTAATTTTCTTTTTTCTTTTTTATTTTTATTACTAGACTTATCAACTTCTATTAATTTTGACCGTAAAAATTAAATCATGTCGAATTTGATCATTAACTTAGATCAATGTTGTATTTTTTACCGTCCTTCAATATCGGATAATTAACCATTTAATAAAAAAAATATTTAAAAATCTTCATTAGCTCACTAATTTTAATTATATAAAATTTTGCGCATATATATATATATATACACGTGTGTGAGAGTATATTGATCACATTGAAAACAATTGAAATACCCACTATATAACATTTTAATTCAAAATCACGAATTTTCTTTATTCAAAATACCGAATCGAGTTTTCTTTACTCTTAATCTTCATCATCAACGTAATCCGTTCCAAACTTTCCCTTAATTGATTCCATATCAATGTTTCATTTTAAAAAGAGGCTACTATTCTACCACTAGACCACTAGTGCTTATCGATTAAATAATCTTCATTTTTGTAAATTTTCTAATTACTTCCGATAAAATTCTTAATATTTTATATATTTTTAAATAATATATATAATTCACTAACTAATTTTAAAGTAATACAAAAATTTTCATAAACTAACTAATTAGTATGGTAGTCGTACATTTTCTAACTGTTCCAAGTCAAACAGATGCACCAGCTGGAAATTAACCCAAATATGTACTATGACAAAGTACTATCCTACCACTAGACCACATATGCTTTTTGAATTATTCGTCAACATTCTTATAAATTTCATCGGTATTTAAATAAATACTTTTATTTTCGGATAAAATTCTTTTTGTATTTTTCAATTAGTGTCAAATTTTAACAATATATTTTTTAATCATTTTATATCTACTATGTTTAATTGCTTTTAAATATATTATATATTTTCAATTATTATCTTATTTTAATAATATCTTTTCTAGATACTTTATATATTCGTCTTATTAAATATTTTTTCCTGTTGCCATTATTTAGTTTAATTATACCTACAATTTTGTATATTTCTTTTTATAATAAATTTTCATAAACTCACTAATTCTAATATTTTCAATTTTTTCTCAGATTGATAAATGCATTAAAATTGAAAGTTTGTAGTATAAATTAATAATAGATGGAAACCGACCATTTCAAATATTGATTGCATGTCAAAGCAATCGGTGCATGAGTAATTTTGTCACGATCGTACACTTTCAATGGTGTGATGTCATGATCTTCGCACGCCCATGACAAGCCTAGAGGTGAACCCAACCCTCATTTCTATTTTTCACTTGACTTTGTAGATTCATCAGATATGAGGCAAGGTTTATATTTGCCAACTGAACACAACTCAATCTAAATTTGTTTGGCCACACAAACTGCCTATGCATGCATGTTCAATTAGTTGGACTCTAACCGACTCGTCTTTGTACTAGGCCAAGTCATCGGACTCAACCTTGCATCTACTTTAGACCAACGTCTCTCATATGTAATGTTACATCTCGTCTTGTCATCTTGCTTCTCGACCACACGACTTACATATCATCATGTCATCCCAAATCTCGAGATGTCATTGGTCTTCCTAGTTCACTCAAATATATCCATCAAGAATCGACCTTTGAGTCGATCATATCAATGAGACATCCCGAACATCCATCCATCCAGGTGTACATCTCGTGTCCATTTTAAATCATTTACGGATATCGTACTGTATAGCAGGTCCATATATGAACCTCCGATACATGGGCTAGGGTGCAATGTCAACACACTCATGTCATCCGACATTATTCTTGAAAATTCCATTAAAATATGTAAAAGTTTCTCCACATATTATTAAATTAAAAAAGCCCTGCTCTGATGCGCTATAGCTTCGTTAGAACACTATCAGATGGTTGTGATCGACCCAGATAACAATCAGCGCTAATTCATCATCGCAGAATATTATGAAAGCACCAGCCAAGAATCGAACCCAAGTCTTTACAGTGGCAAGGTACTATTCTACCACTAGACCACTGGTGCTTTCATATCAATGAGACATCCTGAACATCCATCCAAAGGTTTACATCTCGTCTTGTCATCTCGTGTCCATTTTAAATCATTTACGGATAGCAAGTCCATTAAAATATGTAAAATTTTCTCCAAATATTATTAAAAATTAAGAAATCCCTGCTCTGATGCGCTACAGCTTCGTCAGAACACTATCAGATGGTTGTGATCGACCCAGATAACACTCAGCGCTAATTCATCATCGCAGAATATTATGAAAGCACCACCAGCCAAGAATCGAACCCAAGTCTTTACAGTGGCAGGGTACTATTCTACCACTAGACCACTGGTGCTTTCATATCAATGAGACATCCTGAACATTCATCCAAAGGTTTACATCTCGTCTTATCATCTCGTGTCCATTTTAAATCATTTACGGATATCGGATAGCAAGTCCATTAAAATATGTAAAATTTTCTCCAAATATTATTAAAAATTAAGAAATCCCTGCTCTGATGCGCTACAGCTTCATCAGAACACTATCAGATGGTTGTGATCGACCCAGATAACACTCAGCGCTAATTCATCATCGCAGAATATTATGAAAGCACCACCAGCCAAGAATCGAACCCAAGTCTTTACAGTGGCAGGGTACTATTCTACCACTAGACCACTGGTGCTTTCATATCAATGAGACATCCTGAACATTCATCCAAAGGTTTACATCTCGTCTTATCATCTCGTGTCCATTTTAAATCATTTACGGATATCGGATAGCAAGTCCATTAAAATATGTAAAATTTTCTCCAAATATTATTAAAAATTAAGAAATCCCTGCTCTGATGCGCTACAGCTTCATCAGAACACTATCAGATGGTTGTGATCGACCCAGATAACACTCAGCGCTAATTCATCATCGCAGAATATTATGAAAGCACCACCAGCCAAGAATCGAACCCAAGTCTTTACAGTGGCAGGGTACTATTCTACCACTAGACCACCGGTGCTTTCATATCAATGAGACATCCTGAACATTCATCCAAAGGTTTACATCTCGTCTTATCATCTCGTGTCCATTTTAAATCATTTACGGATATCGGATAGCAAGTCCATTAAAATATGTAAAATTTTCTCCAAATATTATTAAAAATTAAGAAATCCCTGCTCTGATGCGCTACAGCTTCGTCAGAACACTATCAGATGGTTGTGATCGACCCAGATAACACTCAGCGCTAATTCATCATCGCAGAATATTATGAAAGCACCAACCAAGAATCGAACCCAAGTCTTTACAATGGCAGGGTACTATTCTACCACTAGACCACTGGTGCTTTCATATCAATGAGACATCCTGAACATCCATCCAAAGGTTTACATCTCATCTTTTCATCTCGTGTCCATTTTAAATCATTTACGATACTGGATAGCAAGTCCATATATGAACCTCCGACACACTCATGTCATCCGACACTATTCTTGAAAATTCCAAATTCCATTAAAATATGTAAAATTTTCTCCAAATATTATTAAATAAAAAAAAAAGCCCTGCTCTGTTGCACTACAACTTCGTCAGGACACAATCAGACGATTGTGATCATCAACCCAAATAACAATCATGCTCTGTTGCACTACAACTTCGTCAAGACACAATAAGACGATTGTGATCATCAACCCAAATAACAATCAGCGCTAATTCATCATCGTAGAATTTTATTATGAATGCACTAGTCGGGAATCAAACTTGGGTCTATACCGTGGCAAGGTACTATTCTACCACTAGACCACTAATGCTTTCATGTCAATGAGACATCCCGAACATCCATCCATCCAGGTTTACATCTCGTCTTGTCATCTCGTGTCCATATACAACCTCCGACACTATTCTTGAAAATTCCATTAAAATATGTAAAATTTTGTCCAAATATTATTAAATTAAAAAGTCCACAATCTTGTGATCGACCCAGATAACAATCTGCGCTAATTCATCATCGCAAAATGTTATGAATGTACCAGCTGAGAATCAAACCTGAGTCTATACTAGAACAGGGTACTATTCTATAGATCACTAGTGCTTCCTTTTAAGCAATATACTTTAAATTAATCTTAATTTTAATAACAATTTTCAAATATTTACATTATTTTGTTCAATTTTTTAGGGCAATTTTTAATTTCTATTCCCACGGTAACAAAATTATATCTTTTGTCCTGTATGAGACACTCCTTTACATGCTCAACAACGTTATCGCAGGCTCGATTAATATTATCACAGTTTAACTTTCATTAATTCATCAACTAATTTTAATGAAAACTAATACAAAAATCTTTGTACTCAATAATTTTAATATTATCGATGTAGAAATTAAGAATGGAGTAATTTTACCAACCATACACGTTTTTTACAACAATGTCTTGAAGTTCAGATAAATAGATAGTTTCCGTCCATATATTAACGTTAAAAGTTTTTTTTAATATAAATTAAGGATATTAATGCTATTTTTAAAAATTTATAGAAGTTTTTTTTAAAACAATAATAATAATTAAAAAAAAAGTATTTTTAAATTTTTTTAAAAAATTGGGATATTTATATTTTTTTGAATTAATTTAGTTTGGGTCATAAGAAAAGGAAGCGCGTGGAGCTACGTGTTATTTTGTGCGATTGGTTTTGAATTCTGACCCAAAAAATAAAAACAACCATTCTAATTATTTATTGGCCAAAAATTACGGGACCGAAAAAGAAAAGATTCAAAATTTTATTTTTCTTAAAAAAAAAAATAAAAAAAAAAAATAAAAACTTCGTCGCCTCTGGTTTTTGAGAGCCAAAACCCCCCCTCTCCTTCGCCCCCTCCTTCCCCTTCTTCCCCTCTGTGAACGCAAAGACCTTCGAATTCCAGGAAAAAAACATATACCCAACAACCCCCTGATTTTGTACCATTCAATTGTAAATCTTAGAAAACTAAAAAAACCAATCAAATTCATGTTATTTCTGTACAATACATGGAGGTTTTTGTGTAAATCACGAGGTGGAGCTGTTTTTGTTCTTCCGTGTTCCATTTAAGGGGAAGAATCTGAAAGGATTTGGTTGTTGGGTTTTGTTTAGATCGCTATCTCGGCCTGCATTGTTCAGATCTATCTGAATTCGGATTTCATTGAATCTGGGTTTATTTGTAGCTGATTCTTTTTTTGGATCTGTTGGCTGAGGTTTTCAAGTTTTTGATTTGTTTTTTCAATTCGGTGTTTGCGAGAGAGAAGGAATGTGTAAAATGGTGATGATCTGATTGTATTCTTTTCTTGGGGTTTTCGCCATTGATATCAATTAATCGGATTCTTAGAATTTTGGGAGGTAGGTGCTTAAGATCTCGAGGAAACTTTGCAGATTTTAGCTGTTGCAATGCTTGTAATGTGCCTTAATCTCTGAGGAGGACAAGAATCGGTGTATTTTGTTTCTTTGAGGTTTGAATTTGAAGATGGATTCCTTAGCTTCGATCAGCGAAGAGCTTGCAGATATCGAGGGGCAAATCAATGATATTCTCCGAGCTTTGTCGTAAGGATTCTTAGATTTCGTTTTGTTCTAGAAACTGAGATTGTTTTATGAGCTTAAATCTCTTGTTTGGCTCTGTTTTTGTAATATCTACAGAAATGGATTTCAGAAGTTGGAGAAGATTAAGGACACAAATAGGCGGAGTAGACAATTGGAAGAGTTGACTGATAAGATGCGAGAATGTAAGAGGTATAAGCATCTGATTCTTTCTTTGTTCTGTAATTTCCATGGTGTCTGCATATGTTCTCTTCGTTTTGTTTTCAAACTTTGGAAGTTCTTCCAATAATTCAAGTTCTATCAGATGTTGTTTATGAGTTTTAATCTCTCCACCTCTGTTTGGCTTCACATCTCTCTCCATCTTTAGATATCTAGAGAGAGATAGAGATAGAGATCCACTGCATGATCAACCCGATTGTGTCTTACATGTGCTCTGATTGGTTGAACCAAATGTCTTAAAAGATATTTCCTCTAGGCTCACCTCGAGGCAAGGTTCAAACTATCCGTTTCGGAACGAATGCGCTCTTTGGATCATGAGAGCGAGAGCGTCATGTTTCTTACAGCAAATGCTTGTTTCTCCATGAACACATTGAAGCTCAATGATCACTAGAAGAATAATATGAATCCTTAGTTTCCTAAAAGATGTAAAGCTTCCTCGTGTGTGTAATATTCCACCTTCAAGCTTTACTACTTTCATTGCCGGATGACAAATTTTTTTAAAAGTATGTGGACCCTATTAGTGATAGAAGTGATGATGTTGAGAATGAACTTTTATAATCTTTATTTAAGAAGGTGACAATGGATAGATGTCTTTATATGTATATATACTTTTTGTACTTTCATACCATCATTATGCTTAGTAATTCTTGATTATAATTTAAATGATATACAAATTAAGGTCTCATTCTGTGAGATCCCACATCGGTTGAAGAGGAAAACAAAATATTCTTTATAAGGGTGTGGAAACCTCTCCCTAGCAGACGCATTTTAAAACTTTGAGGGGAAGCCCGAAAAGGGAAAGTTCAAAGAGAACAATATCTGCTAGCGGTGGGCTTGGATTGTTACAAATGGTACCAGAGCTAGACATGGGACGGTGTGCCAACGAGGAAGTTGAGCTCCGAAGGGTGGTGGACACCAGATGGTGTGCCATTGAGGACGCTGGGCCTTGAAGGGGATGGATTTTGAGATCCTATATCGATTGGAGAGAGGAACGAGTGCCAGCGAGGACGCTAGGCCTCGAAGTGGGGTGGATTGTGAGATCCCATATCGATTGGAGAGAGGAACGATTGTCAGCGAGGATGCTGGGCCTCGAAGGGGGGTGGATTGTGAGATCCCACCTCGATTGGAGAGAGGAACGAGTGCCAGCGGGGATGCTGGGCCTCAAAGGGGGGTGGATTGTGAGATCCCACATCGATTGGAGAGAGGAACGAGTGCCAGCGAGGACGTTGGTTCCCGAAGGAGGTGGATTGAGAGATCCCACATCAATTGGGGAGGAGAACGAAACATTGTTTATAAAGATGTGGAAACCTCTTTCTAGTAGATGCGTTTTAAAATCTTGAGGAAAAGCCCAAAGAGAACAATATCTGCTAGCGGTGAGCTTAGGCTGTTATACATTTTATCTCCAAGTCTTACGCCTTCGCTTGTTTGAGAGGAGCCCATTGAATTTGTACCTGAATCACTGTTCTCTTTTATGTTCTACTCTACCCCTCAGCACTGGCAACGAATAAATGGTAACTATAAGATTTGATGTTAATCTTTTCCTGTTAACAATCCTTTGTAGTTCATGGATAGACCACATTGTGCAGTCTGTACATTTTATTCATGTATCTTGAAGTTTCTGGACTTATTCAACAATATGCTATTAAACAATTCACCTGTATCTTTCATTAATCTTTAATTAAAATTCTTTTTAATCTTGATGATGGATGCTTATCATTAAAGATATAGTTCCTTTGTCTTGTTCCTGTTTCTTTTGGTGAACACTTTCTGTTTGTTTCGTTTACAGGCTTATTAAAGATTTCGATCGAGAAGTCAAGGATTTGGAAGGCGGGAATGACTCGAACACTAATAAAATGCTTAGTGAGAGGAAGCAGGCTATGGTGAGATGTAAACTTTGGATTCTTTGTAAAGAAATCTTCTTTTCCTTCTTATTTGCTGGTAGTGCATTGTTATTAACTATTCTGTATTTTTATGCAGATCAAAGAGTTGAACTCATATGTTGCCCTTAAAAAGCAGTAAGATTCAATATCTACCATCGATAATCTTTTCGTTTTCATTCGACTTTCTGAATATCTCTCTTCTTCCTGTCTAATTGATAATTTTCTTTTGTTCATCTCGAGTGAGATAAAACAAATGTATTTGGTTGCTTCTACAAGCTTATTTTCTTCATTTGACTCGGGTTTGTGAGATCCCACATCGGTTGGGGAGGAGAACGAAACACTCTTTATAATGGGGTGAAACGTTTCCCTAGCAGACACGTTTTAAAAACCTTAAGGGTAAGCCCGAAAGGGAAAACCCAAAGAGGACAATATCTGCTAGTGGTGGACTTGGGTCATTCCATGGTCCCTCTTCTTACTCCACTTATAGCAGTTGAATTCTACATCTCTGCTTACATATGAAACAGTTCATAATGGTTGTTTGTTGATGCAGACATGCAAGCACTCTCGATAACAAGCGTATCGATCTCTTTGATGGACCTGGTGAAAATTATGGGGAAGAAAATGTGTTGCTAGCCTCAAGTATGCGTACTTTGCTTTTGTTATTTAGTTCATGATTTAAACCACTTTGAATATTGTTGTTGTACTGAGAACTGTGAATATGAGCTGAGGCCTGAGATACTAAAATGGGCAAAAACCTGTGAATGTTTTGGTCTAAATGTTGGTTGGTTTCAGCATAGGTTCTGAATGTTTTCTAAACCGATCGGTGGGTTCGACCAAATCCGGGCTTGCCTATGATCTATATTATGCCTGCTGAATTTACTAATGTATTAGGCTATATATGTTATTGCAGATATGACAAATCAACAATTGGTTGATAGGGGAAACAAAATGATGGATGAGACTGATGAAGCAATTGAGAGGTCTAAAAAGGTTCGTTTGTCATTGAAAGATCAATTTTCTGCTTTCTTTCTATTGGATTTTAAATGGTAGGAAATTTCAAATTAACAAAACTGTCCGCTTGTTAATGCTTTGAAGTAGACTGTGAGATCCTATATCGGTTGGGGAGGAGAACGAATTATTCTTCATAAAGGTGTGGAAACCTCTCCCAAGTAGACACGTTTTAAAAACCTTGAGGGGAAGTCTGAGAGAGAAAGCCCAAAGAGGATAATATCTGCTAGCAGTGGGCTTGAGTTTAACAAATGGTATCAGAATTAGTCACTGGGTGGTGTGCTAGCAAAAACACTGGGCCCTGAAGGGGGTGGACTGTGAGATCCCACATCAAGAGAGGAGCGAGTGCCTGCGAGGACGCATTGTGAGATCCCACATCGATTGGAAAGGGGAACGAGTGTCAGCGAGGACTCAGGGCCCTGAAGAGGGGTGAATTGTGAGATCCCACATCGGTTGGGGAGGAGAACGAAACATTCTTTATAAGAGTGTGGAAACCTCTCCCTAGCAGATGCATTTTAAAAACCTTGAGGGAAAGCCCATGAGGAAAATCCTAAAGAGGACAATATCTGCTAACGGTGGGCTTGCTGTTACATAGATTGATATGTGGTGGTTGTTGTATGAATGTGATAGGTAGTTCAAGAGACGGTGAACGTAGGAACAGAGACAGCAGCTGCTCTGAAGGCGCAGACGGAGCAAATGAGCAGGATAGTGAACGAGCTCGACTCAATACATTTCTCACTGAAGAAAGCCTCAAAACTGGTGAAAGAATTAGGGAGACAAATTGCAACTGATAAGTGTATAATGGCCCTCCTCTTCATTATTGTCCTTGGTGTCATTGCCATTATCATAGTCAAGGTACCTACCATTCTTCATTCATCCATTCTTTCTTTCTTTCTTTCTGTATTTAGCTGAACAATTCTGGTTCTATACTCCTCTTCAGCTGGTGAATCCAAATAACAAGGACATTCAGGACATCCCGGGGCTGGCACCGCCTGCCCAGAGCCGAAAACTGCTATGGAATTCCGGTTAAAACCCCGAGTTACAAAGAAGAATCATCGTCCATATCCCGAAACTTACTCGATCTTCTGGGAATGCTGTGCACAATTAGGTAGCTACTCACATTGTTCTAGCCTTTTGTAGCTTGTGAGATAATAAGCTGTAGGGGCTGAATGAATGAAGGAAGGATAGGCAAAGCAGCATAGGGGGCACAGCCAAGCCAGGTTCTTTCCTATGCCTGCAACTGACATTCATTCTCATTGTCTCTTGTCCTGTCCTGTCCTGTCCTGTTGAGATTTTATTGATTTTTATGCTTGGTCTTGTCTGTATAAATCTTAATCACTCATATATTCTATCATTTTACATTTATGTTTGGGGATTTATTATTATTATTTATGTTATTGTCATACTCTGATAATGTATATTAGATAATTCTATGTCAATTTTGGGCACAAACTATCATTGAAAATGACGGATCAATTTCTGTTAGTTTATAGACACAAAAAATGACCGATCGGTTTCTGTTTGTTCATAGAGATACCGAAAACGACCAATCAGTTTCTGTTAGTTCATAGAGACACCAAAAATGACTGATCAATTTTTGTTAGTTCAATAGAGACACCGAAAATGATCGATTGGTTTTTGTTAGTTCATAGAGAGACCGAAAACAGCCGGTCGGTTTTTGTTAGTTCATAGAGAGACCGAAAATGACCGGTCGGTTTCTGTTAGTTCATAAAGACACCGAAAACGACCAATTGGTTTTTGTAAGATTCATAGAGATATCGAAAACGACTGGTTGGTTTTTGTGAGTTCATAGAGATACCGAAACTGGCCGATTGGTTTCTATTAGTTCAAAGACATTGAAAACGACCGATTGGTTTTGTTAGTTCAAAGACGCTAAAAACATCTGTCATAGAGACACCGAAAACGAACAATTGGTTTCTGTAAGTTCATAGAGACACCGAAAGAAAACGACCGATTGATTTCTGTTAGTTCAGAGACACTGAAAACAACCGATTGGCTTCTGTTAGTTCAAAGACACTGAAAACGTTTGATTGATTTTTGTTAGTTCATAGACACCGAAAATGGTCGGTCGATTTCTTTAGTTCATAGAGACATTAAAAACGACCCATTGGTTTCTGTAAGTTCACAGAGACACAGAAAACGACCAATTGGTTTCTATAAGTTCATAGAGACCAAAAACGACCTATTGGTTTTTGTTAGTTCATAGAGACCGAAGAGTATTTTTTAAGCTTTTTTGAAAGTTCAACTGAATTTTTGACCCAAAATATTGACGGTTTCGATCCAAAACTAACCGTAAAAGGGTATTAAACTAAACGTAAGGTTATTTTTAAAATTTTCGATTAATTTAATAGTGTGTTTTTAAAATCAAAAGGTTTTAAAAGTTCAAATGTATTTTTGAAATATAGTATCAACTATTTTTCTCTCAAATTAATAAGATTATTTTTTTAAAATTTCAGAGAAATATTTCTAAAATAAAGTTTATAATTGGAGGGATTTATTTATTTATTAATTTAGCCTAATTTGGAAATAAAAACTTTTTAACTTCTTTCTTGGAAAAAAATAATTATTATATTTTGATACTTAATTTAAAAAAAAAAAAAACAACATATAATATTAAAAGTATTTTTATTATAACCTTACCAAACAAGTTTTTTTTTCCTTAAAAATATATGAAAAAGAAAATAATTGTAGAAAATGGGAGTCCATAAATTTTTTCTCCTCTAGTTTATTTCAAAGTCTTCTAGCATGGGACCAATATCACCCCCACACTTGTACGATATCAAATTAATGGCTTATAAATGAAGCGTTCTCGAACTAATTTTTAGAAATTCTTGTGACAGAACGGTGGAAAGACTTTGATTTTGGATCGAGATTGGTTGTCTCATTTAATATTGTCATGTAAATTCAAAAGAACGAGCAAATTTCTCGAGTTGAATGTATAATCGAGTTGATTCAAATTAATTCAAATGAAAACGACAATCGTAATTGAATGGGTATTATATTAGAATACAAAATAATTTAATTGACCATGGTCTGAACAATACGTGCGTTTATATAAACAAATCTAAACACATACAAAGTAAAAAGAAATAAAGACACGTGCCTTCACTGAACACCACATCCATCGTGTTGCTCCTACTGCTACTGCCGTGCTCTTCACTCTCTTTAAGAAAATCATGTTCCTCGTATGTGATTTAGGTCATTTGGTGTAACGACACATGCTTAGAATTCAGATAAAAATTAAAATATGAATTCGACACCTGTGTGCCTCAACATTCCTTTGCGATATGGTCATGTTGATTACTCCTGGCTTCTAAAACTGAAGACTATCCCCACATATCAACACAAGTCTTAGCTTGTATGTATCTTAAGAAAAATTTCACATAACAATCCTCCCCTCAAACAAAGTACACTATAAGTCTCTAGGGCCTCCTCTTAATTGAGCTCGACTCCTTTCTCTAGAGCCCTCGAACAAAGTACATCCTTTGTTCGATATTTAAGGATTCTATTGTCATAGCTAAGTTTAAGGCATGATTCTAATACCGTGTTAGGAATCACGACTCTCTACAATGGTATGATATTGTCCACTTTGAGCATAAGCTCTCATGGCTTTGCTATAGGCTCCCGAAAAGGCCTCATACTAATAGAGATAGTATTCCTCGTATATAAAACCATGATCCTTCATTAAATTAACGAAGAAGGTGGGACCCACTCCCAATCTCGAACGTATTCCAACTCAAATGTTGAAAAGGTATTTATGATTCAAGGATTCCTTGGAAACTAGGACATTTGAAAAGAATTCCCCAACAAATGGGTGTCGTGTTCCAATACAACGTTGAAATTCTCAAAAAACAAAAAGACAAAATGAATAAAGAAAAATAACAACTTTAGTATTTGAGAAATATGACTTATTAATTTGTTTGTGTAATTTGACCATTTCAACCTTTGATCATCATTTAAACAAACCACTTTTCCACTTATTTCAATCCACTTCAATATACTCTAAATTCACTTCCATAACTTTTTAAAAATATTTATATTTACTCGTTAAAAAAAAATTGCGAGAATTTCGGTAAGGTGTCGAGCTTCCCACAACCTTAACTAACTACGCGTTTTTTCTCTTTAAATCTTGTGTTTGTGTCTAGCACCTCCCCGCCCATGTGCACTCGTGCCCTACTCCACGATCACAAGCAAGCAACTAGAAACCCGTGTCGACTTATCACTCGAGGGCCTAGTCGCACCCTTCTACGTGCAACATGCGTGCCATTCATCCCTCAGCTTGCTCGAGCGCGACTTTCGATTCCAGCTCGATAACTCTAGCTCGATTTTGAAAGCTAACAAGCACCAACTAAGCAGGGCGGATAATAGCGGTGTATAGTGAATAAAAAAGATTTTAACTTAGTTTGTTAAACAAAGTAGATCACGGTTTTGTTTCAAAGCAAACCACAGGAGCAATTCGTCCTATTCAGACATTCACGACAAAAAAAACACTGGATTCTCTTTCGGATAGGCCTTGAAAGGAGAAGGAACACTTAACTGTTAGAGACGTGTACTTTTATGTGCTGCGTTGCAGGTGGATCTATTACCAGAGGCCTAAGATGTCACCCAACATAGAATTACTCCAAACAAAACACGCTTAATTCTGAAATTTCTATAATATTCTCTTTTCGTGTATATATATATATATATTAACTTTCAATTATTTTAATTTTTTCTTAGTCATCATATCTCAGTAAATGAGGGGTATGAATGAATCAAGACACATTCGAATGAGAGCAATTATGAGGATAAAATGACTAAGAAAAACTTAAAAAATTGTAAGTTACTATCTATACCAATAACGTATATCTTTTTTAAGTGGCTTAATCATAAGAATTCATGGTTAAACGTGTGACCGAGAAAAAAAACATGCTAGAACGACTTGTATTGAAATATGGAGATAGTTTTCACCTTTAGGAGTGAAAGTAATTAACATCACCATGTTTGAAGATATAGGAAAATGTCAAGGTGCAAGGGAACATCGGGACACGTGTGCCGAATCCTAAAACATTAGGTCAGCCACATTTTGTAAAGATTTGAAGTAGAATCAAACAAACAAAAACCCCAAATCGCCGCGCTTGTATGAATCCAAGAAATTAAGCAAGATTTTGAGTCAATTCTTGAGCATGAGCACCCCTTCTTCATTTTACTGTTTGGCGGATAGAAGAAAAGAATGGGCTGTTTCAAATTCCTGTCGCTCAATTCGGCACATATGAACAAACCCATCGCGTAATATATGACGTTATGATGTTCGTATAGCTCATTGATGATGATGCCACATTTGAATGGTCCTCTCTTCGGTCATATTTAACTTCTGTCCCTTTCTTCCCCCTTTTCCTGTTTTCATACACGGTTCTTGCTCTGTATTTAATCGAATGTTTCTTATGTATTCCACTTACTCGTACGAGGATTTCTCTTTTTGCAGCAATCCCTTCACGTTTAATTTCTTGGGTGCTCTCTGTTTGTTCATATCCTGTTGTTTGTTCAAATTTTGCTCGGTTTTTCCTTGTGTTCTTTATAATTGCCTTCTTTTCTCAATTTTGCCTTCTGGGTTTGTGGTTTTTTCACATGTTCTAGCTCTTTTACTTCTTGTTCTTTCTTCTGGTTTAAAAGATGAAGTGTTTCTTTAATCCCAAGGGAAAATCTAAGTCCAAAGGGATATCAAAATCAGCTACAGAGTTGAAAAAAGGAGAAAAATCCGACATATCAGCCAAGAAAAATGGTTTGAGACCATCGAATTCGTTGTCTTCAAGGAGTATTCCTGAATTGTACAAAGAGAAGGAGCAAAATTTGAGGGTTTTCTCTCTCCAAGAGCTTGTTGATGCAACAAATGGCTTCAGCAGGCTGTTGAAGATTGGGGAGGGTGGTTTTGGGTCTGTGTACAAAGGAATTATTAAGCCCACAACTTCCAATGGTGAACCTCTTGTGGTCGCCATTAAAGAACTCAACCAGCATAGTTTGCAGGTATTGCCTTCTTTCTTTCTCAGTTCTTTCTGCGAGATCCCACGTCGGTTGGGGAGGAGAACGAAACCTCTCCCTAGCATACGCGTTTTAAAAATCTTGAGGGAAACCTGAAAGGAAAAGTTCAAAGAGGACAATATCTGCTAGTGGTGGGCCTGGGCCATTACAAATGGTATTAGAGTCACACTGGGTGATGTGTCAGCGAGGAGACTGTTCCTCAAAGGGGATGACACGAGGTGGTGTGCTAGTAAGGACGCTGGGCCCCAAAGGGGGTGGATTTGGTAGGGGTCCCACATCAATGGGAGAAAAGAACGAGTGTCAGCGAGGACGTTGGACCCTGAAAGGGTGGATTGTGAGATCCCACATCGGTTGGGGAGGAGTACGAAACATCCTTTATAAGGGTGTGGAAACCTCTTTTTAGCAGACGCGTTTTAAAAATTTTGAGGGAAAGTCCGAAAGGGAAAGCCCAAAGAGGACAATATCTACTAGTGGTGAGCCTAGGTCATTACCTTGATTTGTTTTTTTTTTGTCTGGATGCTTTGGAGTGGACCTGAGGATTCAATATTTTATAAGCAATGTCATCAATCACATATAAATACTTGAGCATTATTCTAAATTTGTAATCATCTGCCTGTATAGGATATTCTCTAAGCAACATATTACTCCAAAATAATGAAGGGCAGCTGACTTTCCCTTTCATCCCATGTCATATACATTCCTGGTTTTCTGCTAGTCTTTATTTGTTAGGTTGTCATTTTACTGTCTCTTGATTTATGCGTATGGCTTATGGGCGGTTTTCTTGTTCTTAATGTTATTCTTTAGAATATTTGCACGCTCTTCTCGAATCGAGGGCCATTGTGAAAACATTCGAAAACATTAAGGTTGAGTTCTTCTGTTGTGTAGGGTCATAAAGAATGGCTTGCAGAAGTTCAATTTCTCAGTGTAGTTAGTCATCCAAATCTAGTTAAACTTCTTGGATACGCGGCTGAAAACGATAAGAAAGGGATTCAGAGGCTTTTAGTCTATGAGTACCTCCCGAACAGGAGCTTGGAACACCATCTTTTCCAACGAATGTCGTCGACGTTGCCATGGAAGAAAAGATTAGAGATCATCATTGGTGCAGCGCAGGGCTTGGCTTATCTACATGGAGGGTTAGAAGCTCAGGTACAATTTAGGTGCATTGGTTTTTGTCAGTTGCTTACTCTTTTAGAGAGGAGATTCCTATAAAAATAATTTTCATTGATCAAAAATGCCTAAATATGATGCATCCAAAGGATTCTTTTCCCATCTGTGAAGTGGATGGCCATTAAGAGTATAGATTAGCAGGCTATTGCATCTCTTGGTAAGACAAGATACCATTTAAAAGCAATAATCAAGTGTTTCCAAAATCTGATGGCATAATGACAACTTATGTATGAGTGGTTTTGGGATTCATGGGTAGCTATTTCGTAACGGCCCAAGTCTATCGCTAGTAGATATTGTCCTCTTTGAGTTTTCCCTTCGGGCTTTCCCTCAAAGTTTTTAAAACGCATATGCTAGGGAGAGGTTTCCATACTCTTATAACGAATGTTTCGTTCCCCTCTCCAACCGATGTGGGATCTCACAATCCACCCCCTTTTAGGGCTCAATGACCTCTCTCTATCGATGTGGGATCTCTCAATCCACTCCCCTTCGGGGCTGAGCATCCTTGCAGGCACACTGCCCAGTGTCCACCCCTTCGGGGCTTAGTGTCCTTGCTTGCACACTGGCCGGTGAGATCACACATCGACTAGAGAGAGGAACAAGTGCTAGTGAGGATGTTGGGTTTCAAATGGGGGTGGATTGTGAGATCCCACATCAGTTGGAGAGGAGAACAAAACATTCTTTATAAGGGTGTGCTCCCTAGTAGACGCATTTTAAAAATCTTGAGGAAAAATCCGAAAGGAAAAGTCCAAAGAGGACAATATCTACTAGCGGTGGGCTTAGGCTGTTACATATACAAATATGCCGGAGCGTGGGGATAAAGTCTATCATAATTGTTGATGGCATTGTGATTGACTTTCTTTGAACAAAAATCAATCCATATCGCCACTTCAGATCATTGTTTTGCACGTGCATTTGCGTAGGTGATATATCGGGATTTTAAATCAGCGAATATTCTACTGGACGAGAACTTCAAGCCTAAACTCTCAGACTTTGGCCTTGCTAGAGAAGGACCAAGAGGTGATAACACACACGTTTCTACAAAGGTACGTACAATAGCTTTCCTGGTGTTGGATTTAGTTGCTTGCAGTTTTTACATTATACATCTCATATAAAAAGATCATGGCGACAGGATGTGAACTAGAAGTCTCATACCCTCTTGTGCCTGATGCTTAACCTGTACTCAAAACCCAAATGGCTGTGTTTTCATTTGTCAGGTGGTCGGAACGCATGGATATGCTGCTCCTGAATATCTTGAAACAGGCCGTCTCAAGAGCCAATGCGATGTATGGAGTTTCGGTGTGGTTCTATATGAACTCCTCACGGGCAGACGAGCATTGAATACTACCCGTCCGGTCGGAGAACAGAAACTTCTACAATGGGTGAGGCAGTTTCCAGTTGACAGTAGTATGTTCACCATGTTAATCGATCCTCGTCTCAGAAACCAGTACTCCTTGTCTTCTGCCCGGGAAGTTGCAAAGTTAGCCGATCGGTGCTTGAACAAAACTCCGATGAGTCGGCCAACAATGACAGAAGTAGTTGAAGGTTTACAGAAAGCGCTCGTAATGTCGGAAGAGAAAACAAGCTCCAATAGTAATCAGAAACAGTCTCATGGCGTCCCGTTTTCTCCAAGATTTCTTGATCAAAAGCATATCATGATTGGAAGACAAGGAAAGGTTTGATCTTCTGATATCTACACTTGCTTACTTTACATTCTTCTAGATGAAATATGAAAAGTTTTGACCTGAAACTCCCGAAAATTCGTCTTTTAAGCACGTCGTGATATCTGAAAGTATAATAAATCTGATCTGAGTACCATATTATACACCATTATGTGTATCCATTCTGGATCGTAGATGGCTGTTTCACTCATGTTCTTACCTATATCTATGCTAGATCCCTTCTTGGTCCAACTTTTTTACTGAAGGACTCAATAATTACTGTTCTGAAAGTATAAAAAACTACATCTTTACACATAGAAGTATGAGGATTATGAGAGTTTTGGCTGTAGATTTAAGACTTTTCCTATACCCTTTTTCTTTTTCTCCTTATCTTTTAACTATAAGACTCATAAGTATGTGCTGGTTTCATTTCTACACCACAGCAACTTCCTTGATCTTTTTCTCCTTAATGAATCCAACGTGAAGATCACTGCCACTGCAGTCCGATTCCGGAAGTTTCCGGTTCCGACCGCCTTCCGACATGGTCTTTACAAACTCGACCAAGTTTCTCCAATTGTTGGGTTCGAAAAGGTTCTTGTTCATTCTCAAGTAAGTGAATGCAGTCAAGCCATTTCCAGATTCTGACCTACTCGTGGCTAAAATTTGCTCATAAGCTCCTCCATCATACCTTTCCAATGCATTTTCACCTGCAAGTTCAGCCTTAGCATCCCTTGTAGCCATCTTCACTTGTCTAACCAAACCTTCCGGTGAGCAGTTCGCATAGCCGGGCTGCTGTCCGTCCTTCATTTCCATGCAAGTGAAGTTAAACACAACCCCATGTTTAGCTAGCATCTTCGCAATAGGCGAGTAACCGTTTCGGTGTCGAGTGTTGTAGTACCCTGCGGTTAACTCGGCGGCATGGGATCGAGTACCGTAATGCCAGTGAATTCCAGCTACTTTTGCTGATAGTTTTGCACCCGTTCCATGGAAAATTCCCTTCGAAGCTGCTAAGATTCTATCCCCGTGCTGTAATAGCTTGCCCGAGTACCATTCGAGGAAGAACTTGCCGTATTCTGTGTTCCATGTTCCTTCCTTTTTGAAGAAGCCTGTATCTTCAGGGAACTGGTTGTATTGACCAGAATCATGTGGCCCTCCATTGCTTCCCCAGTCTCTTTTCCCAATGCTCTCTGCTGCTGCCTCAAGGGAAGCTCTCATGTACTGTTCACCACAGAAGACATATCAAAAATCGTTCTCAAAAACCATTTTCTCTAAACAGCCCCTAGTTTGATATTGCTGTAGAAGGATCCTGTTACGGTTAGATCAATACGTAAAAAGAAGTATATCAAGTCGAGTACCTTGTCGTAACATTGGAATTCCCCGATTCCTGGAAATCTCCAAGTTCCATTGCTCTGTGGGTAAGACGGATATCTGAGTTCCCCACATGGACCAGCCCCGACTTGAACTTCCTGCAATTGCAAATGAACATTGAATTTCCAACTCTGGAAGCTATTTACTTGAATTCTATCTACGTGATTGTAACGGCCCAAGCCCATCGCTATCTGATATTGTTCTTTTGAGCTTTCCCTTTCAAGCTTCCTCTCTAGGTTTTTAAACGCGTCTACTAGGAAGAGGTTTCCAAACCCTTGTAAAGGGTGTTTCGTTCTCCCCCCAACCGATGTGAGATCTCACAATCCACCCCCCTTCAGGGCCTAGTGTCCTCGCTGACATTCGTTCCTTTTTTCAATCAATGTGGGATCCGCACCAAATCGACCCCCTTTGAGAACTAGCGTCCTCGCTCGCACACTGCCTCGTGTCTACCCCGTTCATGGAACAGCCTCCTCGCTGGCACATCGCCCGATGTCTGGCTCTGATACCATTTGAAACAGACAAAGCCCACCACTAGCAGATATTGTCCTTTTTGGACTTTCCCTTTCGGGCTTCCCTTCAAGGTTTTTAAAACACGTCTGCTAGGGAGAGGTTTCCACACCCTTATAAAGGGTGTTTTGTTCTCCTCCCCAACCGATGTGAGATCTCACAGTGATCGAGTCATGTTCATTCCAAGCTATACTACACATATAACTAAGCTAAGCTATCATCTTGTGGGAGGATTAAAGGTGTTCGGAGACGGTTAAGAAGAAGAAGGATTAAGAGAATTGAACAAATTGTCGATGCATACCATGATAACTTCTCCCAAGTAGTCTCTAAATCGATCCCGAAAGCTCCTCATGTAATCAGCATAGACTTGGATTGGTGTTCTTCCTCTAAGCACAGGTAAGGAATCACATCCCAAAGAGATGTATTCCGGATTCCTCCTGCCTGATCTGTCGGTATAAACGAGATCTGGGTTCTTGCTTATTTCTTCGAGCACCCATGGCGGTAAAGGAATGCTGAAAGATCATAGAGAGAAGGTTAACCGAGTATCGAAAAGTCGAAAATGGTTAAGAAAATGTTCTCGGATTCATACCTGCAAGAATCTCCAACATTCCCTCCACACTGATGAAAAGACATGACTACTTGGAGCTTCAAGCCATGCTTTTGAAGCATCTGCACAAGCTCAGCATAGCCTTCCCAATTGTATTTCATAGGTCCATCTTTCTCCACCAATCCCCACCAAGCATCCACCATAACTCCTTCCACACCCGCACTCTTCAAAGCCATTAAACTTGCGTTCATCGCTCGAGGCTTGTTCAGATTCCCTCCAAGCGTAACCGTGTCAAGCGGCAACATAACAAACACAGGAACTCTCAAGTCATTCATGTGATGATTCATAGATAACGAATGAAGTTTCTCCAATTTGTAACTCCTTTCCATCTTAATCTCTTGTAGGGAGCTTCTTTTTCGAAGACGGGTTGATGATTTTGCTTGCTTGAAGGAGATTACGCCATAGAGATCCTCATGAAGATGAGCCTTTATGATCTTGTTGTCTTTCGGGTTGATGAAAGAAGTCGAAGATCGTAGTGTTAAAGTCATTTTTTTCAAATATCAGAGAAGGTATTAGAAATGAATGAAGATGCTGCATATTTATGAACAAAAGTCTCTCAAAAAGTTTTTACACTTCGAAGCTGACAGCAAAGCCGGTGGGCTCGTGTTCAAACGGAAAAGGTACGTAAAACCAAAACTTGTTGGCTTTACCATTTCAACGTCGTTTTCGATATTACTTACTTTTTACTTCCATGTTCTTGGAATTATAAAGCTCAATATCCCGAAATGTTCACTAAGACCAAGCTTCCTAACATAGACCAGGCTTCCTAATAGAATGCTTAACCAATCCATCCCGAAATGTTCGGGTACAAGCTTTAATATTTTCAAGTTTTCAAGGGATTCTTGTAGCTCTAGAAAGTGTTCAATGGCTGAAATGATGAAAATATCTTCCCCTTTTTGTTCCTTTTTCTGCTACTTTTCCTCTCTCTAGAGCTGAACCATATCTCTTCCTTTGTAAAGCAATTTGCTTGGCCAAAACTTTGTGAAACCCCACAAAGAAAGTGATTTGTGGACTATGTTTATGTTCTTAACATTCTATTTATGTGGATGCCAAAAAAGCTTTGAGAATATTGAATTTTCATTGGTGTTGGTTGCATCAGGATAAGGAAGACTAAAAGAATGCATCATTTAGCTGTGTGCTCATGTGGCTGAAACTAAGAGTTTTTTTTTCATTTCTTGGTTTTATGTTTTCTTGTATATACTAAGCCACGAGAAATTGTGAGATCCCACGTCGGTTGGAGAGGGGAACAAAACATTCCTTATAAGGGTGTAGAAACCTCTCCCTAGTAGATGTGTTTTAAAATCATGAGGTTGATGGTGATACGTAATGGCCAAAGTGGACAATATCTATTATTGGTGAGTTTGGGCAGTTACAAATGGTATTAGAACTAGACACTGGACGGTGTGCTAGTAAGAACGCTGGGCCTCAAAGAAGGGTGGATTGTGAGATCCTACATGGGTTGGAGGAAACCAAAACATTCCTTATAAAAGTGTGGAAACCTCTCCAGGTAATATTATTTGTTTTGGCCCGTTACATATTGTCGTCAGTCTCATGGTTTTAAAATGCATCTACTAGAGAAAGGTTTGATTTGTTCTCTGCTTTTCACACCCTTATAAAGAATGTTACCCACTAGCAGATATTGAGGTTTTTTTATACCCTTATAAAGAATGCTTCAACCGATGTGGGGTCTAACAATAAGCGTCAGAAATAAGATTGTGACCTGAAATAGTGTTACAGTGTCCCGAAAATCACTACACGCTACACCTATTGCAGAAACATTATAGCTCAACAATTGTAGGGTGACGGAGGATTGAACCATCAACTTTTACGATGATAATTGGTGACTTTATCTACTAAGCTATATTCGGATTGACACCGGCACGTGGAGACAGAAAAATTCTAATTGTGTAGGCCAATTGGATTGTAAGGAAAGGAGAAAGTTTGATGGGAGAGTTTAGTCTTCATCGAAGAAGAGGCTACAAAGCTGAGGTGTAGCCATGTAATTGTTAGGCCAACCATTAGATTTTTGGGTGGAGGCTATTAGTTCTTATCTCTTCAACTCTTTATTAAATCAAAAAGGAAAACGTGGACGATAAACAAACGCATATGTTAGCTAGAGGTTTCTATACTCTTATAAAGAATGCTTCGTTCCCCTCTCCAATCGATATGGGATCACACAATCTACCATCGTTAGGGCTTAGTGTTCTTATTGACACACCGACCAGTGTCTAGCCTTGATACCATTTGTAACACCTCAAGCTCACCGCTAGTAGATATTATCTGTTTTGGGTTGTTACTTATCGCAGTCAGCCTCATGGTTATAATTTATAAGAGCATCTTGAAAAATTAGCAATTTATAGCAAATTCATTCTATAATATTTTGTATCAAAACGCTTGTAAGATGTTTGACAATCCAAAAAAATGACGATCAATTTGAAGGCTGAGTTTTTTTTTTATGTTCTTTATCCTCGCAAGATCACTAGAAAAGACTTCAAATCTTACGCTCGGTTTTCTGTTGAGTTATAAATTTAGTTTCTAAACTTTGAAGTTTGTGTTTACTTCGTTCATACATTTTAAAAAGTGTCTAATTGGTCTCCGAGTTTTCAAGTCCACAAAATCTAACTTTAAAAAGTGTTCAATGGACCTTTAAACGTTCAAATTTGTTCCCTAATGATTCTTAAATTTTGAATTTGTCCAATGAACTCGAAACCCCGAGTCAAATCTATTCCATTTTAGAAAATTAATCTAACTCAGCTTGAAATGGTAGCCCAACCCAACCCAACCCAACCCTACCCTTATAATTTGGGTCGGGTCATTCGGGTCAATACAACAATCTCATCATAACCATAAATCATAAAAAATGAATTAACCAAATCGGATCAACCAAAATAATTTATAATGTTCAACAAAATAATTTCAAAAAGCACCTTTGGTAGATTATGTTCTTTCGGTACCAAACAGGTTTCTAAGCTTTAAATTTTGTATCAAATGGATTTTATTGACACTTGAAAGTTTCGTTTTTACTCGATGTTTGAATTTAATACCGAACCTAACCCTATCCTGATATCATTAAAATTTTCAAATATTCAAATTGAGATGTCACACTATTATGAGATAACCAACTCAAACCAATCCATTTGGTTCCATTTGTTGTTTTGCGGGTGTTGTTATTGCAACCCTAGTGCTGGCTGCTGCTGAGGAACCTAATCTAATGATTTTCCATGTAAATATGAAAGCATAGGATGAACTTCACTATTCACTTTTCTATCCTTTGTGGGTCGGAACGAAACATTGTTTGTAAGAGTGTGGAAGCCTCTTCCAAGCAGACGTATTCTAAAACCATGAGGGCAATCCTAAAGAGGACAATATCGGCAGCGGTAGGATTGAGCTATATTACAAATGATATCAGAGCTAGACAATGGGCGATGTGCCAGTGAGGAAGCTAAGTCCCGAAGGGGGTGGACACGAGGCATTGTGCCAGCGAGGAATGTGAGCTATGAAAGGGGTGGATTGAGGAGTCCCACATCGATTGGAGAGGAGAACGAGTGCTAATGAGAACGTTGGAGCTCGAAGGGGATGGTAGATTGTGAGACCCCACATCGATTAGAGAGAGGAACGAAGTATTCTTTATAAGGGTGTGAAAAACTCTCTCTAGCAGACGCACTCTAGAACCTTGAGGGAAAGCAAAAGAAGACAATATTTGCTTGTGGTAGGCTTGAGTTGTTACATCTTTGGATTTAGTGAATTCAAGCATATCAATGAATAAGGTACCCGGATAGTAGTTGTTCAAAGCCTATGTTAGGAGACTGATAGAGGTTTGTCTCTTTCCAAAAATACACGTACAATTTTTAAATTAATACCAACACTAAATAGCTACAATAATTAATTTTTTAAAAAAATTAAGTTAATAATAAAAACTGATATTTTATTTTTTAAACAAAATATTAAAGCTTTTAAAGTATTTATGAGACTATAAATAGTTAAGATTATTTTTATTAATTTAAGACCAATATAACTATTTAATATTAAAAATATTTTATTAATATTAATATAATTTCAAAATATATATAAGTTATAGAAATCTAAAATCATTTTTATCTAAATTTAAAACAAAATGACCCAAGTCTTGGGAAGAGAAGCAAGTCCTCTCACCTGTCAATTCCCAATTATTTGTGGGCCAATACCAAAATTAATACCTTCAACAGCTTCATCAATGGTTTCCATAGCTCAGAAACAATGATTTAGATTACCCAGGAAGGATACAGTAAATTCAGATTGTTATTTCTCCAATATTTCTCAAAATTAAAAGCCCAGAAGATCTGGGCAGAAACAGCCAGCCTCAAGAAAAACAAGAACAACAAGAACAAGAAGAGCAGAATCCATAGCTTAGTTACAGATTCAACCACTTTCTTCCCTAACTCCATATGTATACTATATGCAGAGAGTGTTCATTGTTATAAAACCGAAAGAAAAAAAATAAAATCCCCAAGAAAAGGGAACCGAAAAAAAAAAAAGGGTTAATCTCGATCTCTTCCCCTTCTGTTGTTCTTCCATTTTCTTTTCGTTTTGGTTTTGAGTTTTTGAGTTTTGTGTGTTAAATCTAGGCGGCAGCGACGGTACCGGTGTAGAGAGGGTAGTCCGGCGGAGGAGAGGACTTGTTGGGTGAAGTGGATCTTCTTCTTTGTTGATCCTTTTTTCTCAGAGCTTTCATGGCAGATGATGACGATCTTCTCCATTTCTTCTCTTTTGCTTCGTCTATTTCTATTTGTTCTTGTCTACATTCTTCACTACAGAATGGCGTATCTCCTCTGTAAAAATCGTTACAGTTCAGGAACAATATTTAGCCGAATATTTCATCGCCCCCAATTTAAAACCTAGGGAAAACTCTACTGATTCAAGATATTTGAAGAAATTTACCATCTAAATTCCTTTTTGGATATCGAGAAAATCAAAAAAAGCGCAAAGAAAATCCCAAACCCCATAACCTTAGTCGAAATTCAAAATCAAAACCCTAGAAACGAAGATCAAGAGAGAGAGAGATGATGAACGAACCTGTACATGAAGATATCGGTGTTATTCCCGAGACGTTTCCGGCAAAGGAAACAGGAATCCAAGAAATGAGGTTGAGGATCGTCGAATCGGAAGGATCTAGAACCGGCAGAAGCGAGGTAGAGGGAGCGGAAGCTTCTGGAGAAGAAGGGATGGGCGGCGATTGCAGGTTCCATGTCGGCCGCCAATGGAGAGAGTCCGACGACATCGTCGTCGTCGTCATGGAGGAAGCACGGATTTCTCGTAGTGGAGAGATTTGAGAAATCCATGGAAGAGAGAGATTTGAGTTGCAGAGAAATGGAGAAGATGAAGATTAGGTTTTAAAGAAGAAAGAGAGAGGAAATGGAAACCACTGCGAGGTTGGAGACTGAATCCGTTGGCTCGAACTCCAAGTTGAGGAAATTCAATGTGAAATTACTTCCAAGTCCTTTCCCTGGTCCCATGCAACTTTCCCAAACTAACAGCATTTTCTCTCTCCTCCTTTTTTATTCTCCCACTTCAAGAGTGTGTGAAATTACAACTTTAACCCTACCTTAAATATTTTGAATATTTAATATTTAAAAATTTTAGTTATTAATATAATATAAATTAAATAATAATTAATTGTGAAATTAAAATTCAGAATTAACTACGATAGTTGAAATTTAACTGAAACTACAATTAATTAGAAATATATTACCGAACATATTTTTGTCTCATAGATTTAATTAACTGTTTTGGTTTATTTTGAATTGAAAAGGTTTGTTAATTAAACAAAATACACAATTGAATTATATTTTGTATAATTGATTCTTTTTATAAAAAAAAAAAAAAAAAAACTTAAAATCTATTAATAATATTGACCTTTTATATT